CTAGGGATGATCCTGCTGATCAAGGTGGACCCCAGACTTCAAACGCCCATGTATTACTTCCTGAGTAATCTGTCTTTCTGTGATATCTGCTACTCCTCCTCTGTCTCTCCCAAGATGCTGGTTGATTTCTTATCTGAGCAAAAGAGGATCCCATATAATTTATGTCCCATTCAGATGTATATTTTTGGTGCCTTTGCAGATGTGGAGTGCCTCATGCTGGCTGTCATGGCTTATGACCGGTATGTAGCCATTTGCAACCCACTTCTGTACACAGTCGCCATGTCCAGGCGGCTCTGCACCCAGTTAGTTCTCATTTCCTACACGGTGGGCTTGGTGGATTCAGCAGTCCACACCTGTTTGGCGTTTCGATTGTCATTCTGTACTTCCAATATCATCAATCATTTTTTCTGTGACATCCCACCCATTCTAGCCCTCTCCACCTCAGATACATCAATTAATGAGATAGTGATGTTCACCCTCATTGGCTGTGTCGTGGGGTCCAGCATCATCACCGTCCTCCTCTCCTACAGCTACATCATCGTCACCATCCTGAGAATGAATTCAGCGGAGGGGAGACGCAAAGCCTTCTCCACATGCGCCTCGCACTTGATGGCTGTAGCGATATTCCATGGCACGCTCCTGTTCATGTATTTTCGACCCAGCTCGAGTTACTCCATGGACACAGACAAAATGGCCTCTGTCTTCTACACAGTTATCATCCCCATGTTAAACCCACTCATCTACAGCCTAAGGAATAAAGATGTGAAGGGTGCCCTGAAGAAAGCAATTGGCACTGAATTAAATTCTGGGTGAGACTTTTTTTTTCACCCAAAAGTATTAAAATATTCTGAGGTCTACAGTTCAGGTGGTTTGGCATAGTTTTGCTGCCTCATCCATCCTTCTAGATATTTCCCATTATGATTGTAGATTGTATCTAAGTTGATTCAGGTTGCAGTAATTATTGAAATTTATACTGAGAAGTATATGTTAATATAGATAAGAATAAATAGGAGATATTCAGTGCTACAGTTACGGTTCCATAAATGTAAAGTTTGTGCCACTGTAATAATTCTTTGTTGTGCTATTCATAATATTCAGTACAATATGTCATTCAAAAATATGGGTTAAATATATCAATGAATATAGTTTAAAAAGCAGATGCAGACATGAGTTTGTGTATTACCAAAAGAAGAAAACTGTCATTTAAATTATATTCCAGTATGTTCATCATAGATGAAATCATCTGCACTTCTGGTCATTTGGTTTAGACAGAGGAATATTTGGATGTAAAAATCTCTCTTCCACCGCTTTGGCCCATGGGAACACGTCTTCCACAAGCACCTCTCAATCTGAAATACCCTTCATTGTCTTGCATCAGCATGTGGATTTTCCTTGCCCCTACTTCTGCTTTGGGCACTTGTCCTGACAGTGCAGTGAAAATTGGAAGTAAATTCCTGAACATTCCCCAAAGGCCCATTCAAAAGAGGATCCCATGCCCTGTGATGTATTCATGGCACCACAGTAGCAAAAACTGAAATACCACCTCTGAAATGCCCCAGTGATACAATTTATATTGTAAAGAAAGTGTTATTCACATGAGCATTTATTCATAGGGAAAAAAAAAGTCCTAATATTTTTATTAGTTTTCCTGTTACAATGATACATATTTGCTCTGTGTATATCTCTAAAATAAATTAGAACCATTTTATCAATCAAATTTGGATAATGGTGATGGCAGAATGGTTGGGTGCAAGGATTTTCTATTAAACTATCCTGTAAACTATTTCAAAAACTTCACTGCTTTTTCCATTAATCAACTAGGAATTAACCCAGTTATAAAAATCATGTGATTTCATGTGCTCAGGGGTATTTATTTTAATTTATGTTGTCATGGTAAAAGATGGAGCAACTTTTTGGTTGTTCCACAGGACAAAATGATGGATATTACCAAATTTTTCCTTTAAATATTCTCCCTTAGTTTTATAGATATCTTTACTGCAAAAATGTGCTGTGTACTTTGTACTTAAAACATTATAAGAATGAAACAAAATATTAGAAACATGTAGCTTTTAGATTGTTTGTCTTGCTTTACTGAGTGAACAGATATTTTATTACCTCAATTATTTTGTTTAATAATATTAAGTAATTTGTTTTCATAGAACATATTGCCTGTCAGAATCTTTCAACCACTATTGAAACTTCTTCCCAAGTTAGTATACTTTCTTAAAGACATATTCAATGTATTCACATTTATAAAAACTGAAATTATTGATGTTTCATAAAATTGGAACCTCTGGACATCTTTTCCATATATGTTTAAAGGAAAACTAAGACAGTCCTCACTACATTTTTACCTTCTTACCTTTAAAAGCACTGGGCTAATATTTTTAACACATTATCAAAAAATCAAGGCTTTCTATCACATTCATTTTAAGAAAATGATTGAGAGTGCTTAAGATCAGAGCTAAGTGTTGAAGTAAGATAACATTTCTTTCAAAGCTAATAAGTAATATTTACTTATCTGTGTGACTTTAGCCAATAATTCCCTGTCAAAGACTTGACCCTTCCTTCTGAATAAACAGGGCTTCTTTATGGTGTCACGTCAAAAGGGGATTCATCTTTTCCTCTTCTCAGCCAGCTGTCAGTGCCGATGCACATAGGAACAAGACCCTCAGGCCCTGTGTCTAGCTCTCTGCCCATCCCCCCATCTCTGCTTTTCCTGACCTAGTCTTCATTCTTGTTTAGAAATGAGCAGAGGTTTCTTTATCTCCCCATGCTGGCCACAAAATGCCCAGTCTCCTGAACCAGCCCAGACACCTTCAAGCTGCTGCTGGTCTAAGTCCCACGCCCTACATGGCCAAGAAATTGATTCCTATAATTAACTCCAGTGTACCTCATTTATTTATCTTTAAATTCTACTTATTTTATGAATTTGTCAGGGCACTGTCCATATACTAGGTGATGGTATTCACTACCTAAACTTGATTTAACCAGAGTTAATGTTTGGAGACATTTGCCACTTGTCGCAGTGGGAGGGTTCCCAGGGAGGAGGATGAAGACACCACTGGCTAGAAACTAGGGATGCTGCTGAACATTCTTTCATGCTCAGGACAGTCCCATAGTGAGTCCAAAACAGTACTAGTGCTAAGGTTGGGAAACTATGTTCTGTTTGGAGGACCAAAGGTGTAAAGGTGTTTCTCTTATATAAGAGAGTCATAGTCTTGTAGGTGATGTGGGCAATCTCACATCATTGAAAATATTGGACAACCAATACAGAGCTCCATTTTCCTTATAAACACAACACAACCCCATTGTTTTCATCATTGCTATTTATTTATAGAAACAATGAATACCTGGCTTTTCCAGGAATACTGGGATATATACAAATGGTCATTACCTTCAAGGATTTATTTTTTAAAAGCATCAGTATGACTTCATAATGAGAGCCAGATCATTGCAGTTTTTTCTTATGTTTGAGTCCAACAAAAATAGTCTGAGACTGCCAGTTATGCCAGTTATATTTGAGACACCTGTTTTAAGCAAGTTTAAGCATTTTTTCTCAAAAAGAAAAAAAAACACACTCATTAGCTTGAACATAACCAGATATTTAATCTTGCCACATTTAAGTAGCCATTAACATGATTCTTTAAAATGTAGACAATAACAAACATGAAACCAAATTTTAAGCAAAGAGGAAGCCAAATGAAATGTTAACCTGTAGGAACGTAAGAAAGATAAATAATGATTCCATCTTTTAAAAATGGGTGTTTAAGCTAGAAAATGGAGCTTTGTATACATCAGATTCTAATAGTCTGGGATATATAAACACTAGTTTATTCAGGAAGATTATTTGCAGACATGGTTATCTTAATGCTTTTGAGATGAGAGCATTTCCTTGGGTTAACTGGGTAGACTGGAAAGTCCACACAAGACTCCTCTGAGACAGAGGCAGGAGACCATTTCTCTCTTTTCACACACACTCACACACATAATAAAGATGGAGAGGAAGGATGTTGAAAGATGCCAGCCCTGAAGGTAGCTGTGATATGACAATGAGCCAAGAAAAGCCAACATTCATCAGAAGCTGGAAGAAGTAGGAAAGATGTCCCCTGGACCTGAAGGAGTTTGGTCCTGTTGACACCTGGGTTTTAAACTCATGATTTTGATTAAAAATGCTTCACCTCCAGCACTCTAGAGAATGAGGCATATTGTTTTAGGTCACTAAATTTGTAATAGCTTATATCAAAAGGCATGGGGAGGTAAAATAATATCAGGCAGGGTAATAAAATTTTTAACAAGATGGACATTTAAAAAAATACAGTATAAAGTACATGATATATTTGTTCAATAAAGAGTCATTATATAATAAAGAAAAATTTAGAAAATAGCAATAAAAGCAGATAATTGATTCATCAATTATAATATGTATTGTGTTAAGAACTTGAGATACACTACTTAATTTTTGATAAAAGTTTATTTAAAAAGTACAGCATTATCATCTCCATTTAAAACTTTTTTTATTTAAAAACAATATAAAAATAATAAAATGGAACCAAACTGACTAAAATAATACTAAGATTTAAACATAAACACATAAGAAATTCACTCCATATATTCATGAAAAGTAAAAACCACGAAAACTTTTTTTCTACACTTAAGAAAATGGAATCTGTTTAAAAATAAGGAATGTATGCATTAAGAATGATGCAAAAAATTGTATTGCTAGAAATATATTGATGGTATCTCAAGCCAAGAAAATAAAGTCTATCAATACCACTCCCAAAACCTACTCAAAGCAGTTAGAGATTGGATAAGAGAAGTAAAAGTACTTGATGCAGTTCAGCTAACTAATAAAAAGCGCAAGCTATGGCTTAATAAGAGAAGCAAGTGGAAAACATATATAGTTACCAAATCATAAAATCCTTCCCTATTTTACTTTCCATTTATATCCTCCTAAAACAAAGTCCTCACAAAAGTCTCTTATGAAACTCTGAGAATCGCTAAGAAAATGATCTCTGGGAAACCCTTTTGGAGCTCACCACTTTTTTGAGCGCTTCTTTCACATCCTTGTTCCTCAGACTATAGATCAGGGGGTTGAGCATGGGAATCACTACGGTATAGAACACCGTGGCCACTTTGTCAGTATCTGGGTTGTTGTCAGTACTGGGCCGGCAGTAGATGAAAAGGATTGTTCCCTGGAAGACAACGATGGCTGTGAGGTGGGAGGCACAGGTGGAAAAGGCTTTGCGCCTTCCCTCTGCAGAGCGCATCCTCAGGATGGTGACGAGAATAAACAGGTAGGAGGTGAGGATGACCACAATGCTGATGATCTCATTGAATGTGGCCACTATGAACACCACGAGCTCATTTAGAGAGACGTCATGGCAGGCAAGAGTAAAGATGGGTGGTAGATCACAAAAGAAGTGGTTAATTACATTTGACCTATAGGATGGGATCTTAAGAGCTAAACACAAGTGTATCAGAGAACAAATATTCCCATAAAGGTAGCAGCCAGAAGCTAGCCCCACAGAGAGTTTCTGGGACATGGAGACCATGTATAGCAATGGGCTGCAGATGGCCAAGAAGCGGTCATAAGCCATCACGGACAACAGAAAGACTTCAGTGATTACACATGTACAAAATAAATAAAATTGCACCATGCATCCCGGGAAGGAGATGGCTTTTTCCTTGCTTAAGATACTAGCCAGCATCTTTGGCACAATTGTTGTGGAGTAGCAAAAATCCACAAAGGACAAGTGACTGAGGAAAAAGTACATGGGGGTGTGAAGTCGAGAGCTCACTCGAATTAATGCAATCATGCCCAGATTGCCCAAGACTGTACATCCATAGATGAAAAGAAACAGAAGAGGAAGAAAAACCCTGAACTCAGGTGCATCTGATAATCCAAGGAGAATGAACTCAGTCACAGCAGTACAGTTCTCCTCAATTTCCATCATAAGTCAGGTCTGGTAATCCAAACGAAGGTGCTTTATATTCCGTCTGGGAAGAAGAGAAAAAACAACACATTTATGTTAACTTCAGGAAAATATGTAAAATTGATACCAGAAACACTGTATTTAAATTGCAATTATGAAATAATTAAAATGTTCAATATTTCAGAGGATCCCAGTGATCAAAGATAATTTAAGTGCTTGTGAAAACCTACTTGATTTCTCAAATTATATCCACCACAAAGAACTCAGTGGGTAAATTCAACATAGATGTTTTGAAGGACTTTAAAATTGATAAAATAATATTCAATAATGCCACATGGAAGTCTCTCCTAGCCCTGAAAAAGGCGGTAGGTTCTGTCCACTTACAGTAACAGTAAGCATGACCCTAACAACATGTACTTTCTAGTCCTCTCAATCTGCATAAATTCTCTCAAAAGCATAAATCCTTAGCAGATGAGGTCCTGTACCATACATTTCTGGGAAAATGCAACTAGTTTCTTTGATATTAATGGTTTATATCAACTTCCCATTTGAAAATATACAGAATGATTAAAATATATATATAATGTATACTGAAAATGATCCTAATTTTCACATATCACATTAACAAACTAATGTAATTATAATGTTAGTGAAGTGGAAAGATACAACTTTTATTCACTTTTTCTGGAAAGCAATTAAGCAACATAAAACCAACAGTAAAAGCTGTATGATAATTTTACAAAAGATTATTCTTACAAAACTTTTATAGGGATTTTTAACTACATTGATAAAATTGAGAAGGCAGTGGGTGAAATTATATTGCAGCATTATTTATACTACTGACAACAAAAAAAACAGTCAAAAATAGAGTAATTGTTAAACTATAGTGCATCATATATAAAATAGTATTGTATCATGCAGTTTGAAATTACATTTTGGAGATGTTTGTTTTAAAAGGATACCTATTGTTATTCTGGTAAATACGATAGATAGGTAGATAGATAGATAGATTAATGAAGATGTATATTTAGACACATGATGCATGATAGTGGAATGCAATATCACTTTGATTTGGTTACAATTATAAAAATTAAATATTTCATTCATATTTTAAAGGATGCAGATTGAAGCTTTACAGAGTTGCCTCAAATTGTTGCTTGGAAAGGTAATTACTTTGTGAATTATAAAGAAGTGGGATCAACCATTCAGACTTGTCCTTAAAGAAAAGGTAAATGTGGCCCTCCCTGGTGGCGCAGCAGGTTAAAGCACAGCACTAAGAAGCTTAAGTCACTTCCACATGAGTTCGATCCCCGCCTGCCCAGGAGGAGATCCACAGGGCATGGCAGACCTCTCCTGACCTGCCCGCTGCTCCCCTCAGCAGTGTACTTTGATCATCTGCCTGTTCTGCTCCCCGCTCTGTCTCTGGTGAATCCTCTCACCGTCCACATCTCTGGCCTGTACCCCAGTTCTGTATGAATAAATAAATAAAATCTTAAAAAAAAAAAGGTAAATGAAAGTTGAGGTATTTTATCCGCCTTCCTGTTCAGCAGGAAAAATATACCCATGACGTCATATGGCATGTGTAATGTAAATTGAGTAGAGTCATTATGAACTGGAAAAATTGACAAATATTTTTCCATATCTTAAATATTTTTAAATGGAAATTTTGTTTTCCTAAAATTATTAATTTTTCATTTTCTGTTAAAAAAAATATTAGTTTTGGCCCTCCCTGATGGCGCAGCGGGTTAAAGCACTGCACTAAGTTGCTTAAGCCACTTCCGCATGAGTTCGATCCCCGCCTGCCCCGGAGGTGACCACATGGCAAGGCAGACCTCTCCTGACCCGCCCACTGCTCTCCTCAGCAGTGTACTTCATCGATCTGCCTGTTCTGCTCCCCACTCTGTCCCTGGTGAATCCTCTCACCCTCCGCATCTCTGGCCTGTACCCCAGTTCTGTACAAATAAATAAATAAATCTTAAAAAAAAAAATAGAAGTTTTTCTAATTCAGAGTTACAACAGGAAAATCAACTCAGATGTTCTCTGTATTATTCTAGGATGATAATAAGAAACCAGTTTATGGTAAACACAATATAAATTCCAACAACTTAGCATAAATTATTGAGCAAAAATAGTTCACATGTTACAAATCTCTATGAACTGTTGAGAAACATATGAATTCAACTCTCCAAATTAGAAAACACTTATATATCCCATACAATCATACACATTGATTTAGACTGTAATCGATGTAAAAAGATAGAAGAGGTATGGATGCAAGCCTCTATAATATTATAAAGAAACTTGCTCTAACTCCAATTTATCAACTCTTTCTAAATACTAAAAGACAAAAAAAAAAAAAAAGCATATGAAACAGTAAATGAAAGGGAATACAAGTTCTGTGAAAATATCCCCTATTGGAAAACAGATAAATTAGGTATATCTTTAAAATAACTGCTTAGTGGGGAAAAATATTCACTTTTACTTTAAAATAACCTAGGCCCAGTTCTCGCTAACAAACCTGAGCAATACACATCTCTTCTCTGGTGCTGGAATATTAGGTCTGCACTGATGCTCTCAGAGACTTGTACTGTGGTGTAAGCTCTTGGGAACTGGGTCCCTCATGTCTCAAATTCATCTTTACTCTCTATGGATTTAAAACACTTTGAAATTAAATAGATACTCCATGTGATATAAAACACAAACACTAATTGATCTCTATGGAATGCACCTTAGTTTTTAATACCCTGAATCTGTAAAGCAGTTATTTAGAATCAAGCCTACTTACTTGTACATTTCATTGAGCATTATGATGACATTCTGATGCCATCTCTGTGAGCCATACCTCATAGTGACTTTCAGAAATAACATAAATGTTTCTTATGACTAATGTCATTAACAGAGTTACCTAATATTTTGCAAGATACAGTGACTAGAGCCACACCAGAATTCTTTCAAATAAGGGGAAGAAAATAAACTCAATGGTCAGAAAACCATAAAAGAGTTTATAATTATTGGGATACCTGTGTTAACAATAATCTAAGTATATATAAACAATATTGCATTTGATTTCCACAATTAAAAGCTAAGAGAATAACTATTTTTAAGTGAATATAGGAAGGAAATTAATTTTCTGCAAAAAAGATGAACACATTAAATTAGTGGAGGAGAAGAAGAGCAAGCAGCTCACAATGGAAGTTGTGACTTGAATTTCTTCTTGCAATTACTTTCTCAAAAGCCATTAATTTGATCCCAGTCATTGCCTTTTCTCCTAAGCTATTCAATCTAAGAAAGATGGAGACTTGGTATGTGAAGATAAAATGATAACAACCCCCCCAAAGCAAATGAGTTATTATTATTGAACTTTAACTTTATTGATATTAAAAGGGTTTTAAATCACTGTACCTGCCCAAGGGGGTATGGTTCAAATTTCTGCAGAAGTATATATTCAACCCTGCCCACCCTTGGTGCCTCACCATCCTCCACCATGTTCTACTGGGTCCCCTCCTCCCTAAATCCCACCCCATAATCCTCTACTATGCTTTTCTCAATTTTACGATCAGATGTTGATTGGTTATTATTCGTTTGGTTTTGACTGACCCATTGTTCTCTTTCTCTACATTCCACATGTACATGAGGCCATCCTGGTTATCTGGTTATCATAAGTGCAAAGACTACTGCTGACATCTGTTTGTGAAGCCCATTGGTAATGCTAAAGAACCTGTAAGCGCTGGATAGTGTCCATAGCAAAAAAATTATCCAGTGCAAAATATCAGCAGTGTAGAGGTTGGAAAGTTCCATTCAATATATAATGTTTCTTACATTGAATGTTTTCTTTTTAATTTATTTTCTTCCATGCTTCATGTACTGGAACTCCATGTCTGGCAACTTTGTGCTTGTGTTTGGCTGCTTGGAGATCTCAGCCATCCTCTGGCTTTAGAAAATTTTAAAGTTTCCAGAATATCTCAATTATTATGATCTATTGGGGCAACTGTCTTTTCCAGTATTGTAGCCCCTGACCTTATACTAGAAGCCTGATATCACTGGCTTGATGAATATTCTACTAAGTGATATGATAGCTGTCATTTTCTTAATTATACTAAAGGCTTTTCAATAATGTTCTCAGAACTAACAACACCATTCTCCAAAGACTGCATAATAATTGAATTTGAGAAGAAGATTATTAGGTGAACCAAAGTATAAATTGCACGGATATAATTACATTACTAAATTATTAAAATATTCATTAACTTGGACATAAGACCTTTAATCATCAAGTTATACACAAGAAAATATAGAAAAATTGTCCCATGACAAAGACTTCAGTGATATCTTTGTAGATTCATATATATAAGCAAGAAAAGCAAAATATAATATAAACAATAAAAGCAAAATAAAATGTTTCTTCACAGTTAAAGCTGAGGGGGTAACAATTGACTATGGCTAATGATTATCGGTGTCTTGTTTATTGGTATAGTACAATAGTACACAACTGAAGGATGGAATCTACTTCTCAATCATATACAGCATTGTAAACAAATGTTGCTTCTATAAAATAAATAAACTAAGTAAACAGTTCATATCCAAAGCAGAAAAATGTTTGGCAGTGACCAAAATCTTTAACATCACATTCATTCAATGAGAAAAGGTGTCTTTGTCATCTTGTTGTTTCTTGACTTCCTTATTTGTCAGGCTGTAGATAAAGGGATTCATCACTGGCATCACCATTGTGTAAAAGAGAGATGATCCTCGTGTGCCTTTCTGAAATTGGGTGCAAAGAAGATGGTAATATGGAAACGGTGGCAGTGGTCCGGTAGGAGACACGGAGAAGGGTTTGTGGGTGTCCTCCAGCTGCATGAATCCTCAGGGTGGTCACTGAACACATGAGACTTGAGAATGATGGCAGTACCCCCTCAACTACAGGTGCCAGCAGTGACAAGGGGCAACTGACAGAGACAATAGTCGGAGCAAGAGGGGGATCTGGAGAGGAAATCACAGAAGTGATGGATTGTGTGGGCTCCAGAAAGATGATTTAACAGTGGAACTTGGGAACATCGAAGAACATATGCTCCCACTCACAGCCCCACCACTGACGCAGCACAGAGTTTCTGGCCTGGTAA